GATCTTTGCTGAAGTTGGTTGATGAAAAAGAACCAGTTTGCGTCAGAGAATCTTGATGAATGGAAAAGTCGAGGCTGAAGGCCTGGCACAAAACTTAGGGTGTCCTGGAGCATTTGCTCACATTTTCATCTTCTCAGAATTCAACCAAACCACCGACTCAGGGCGGGTCCCTAGTGTGGGACTTTTAATGTCTCTGAAGATTCCCGCCTCTCAAAATGGGCTTGTCCAATGAGAAAGGCTGACGTCACAAGTGGGAGTTTTGAGATACTGGGGGAGTTCTTATGACCCTTTGTGCGAGGGCATGGTACTTTGCAAATGGAACTTGAATCGAAATTACTAAAGATTCTCAGGACACTAATATATTGCCCATGTACCAACATATAATATACTCGCTCGTTTAGATCATCAGAAGGCGAATTCATAGATACTAAACATGGTGAACATGAGTGAGACAACAAACTAAAAATCCATGATCCATGAGTCCGTGACAGTACTCCCCCCTCCGGCCAGGCGCAACTTCGCGTCATAATAAAAACAACAAAGGAGGGACAGAGGGGACTTAGGAGGAGGACAAAGGGGCGGAGTTGGGATGGTAACAGGGGATGGCGAAGGGTAGGCAGGAAGGCAGGCAGATGACCAGGGTGGCGATGACAGAGGGAGGAGCCATGGTGGAGGAATGGCTGGCAACTCCAGGAGGCCAACTGACAGTGGCGAAGCAGGTGGGAGAGGAGACAGAGCTCCGACGAGCCAGGGCGACAGGGAGGATCCGGAGGGCCAAGGCGGAGCAGATGGCTCAGGCGACCGAGGCGTAGGCGGGGATCCGGAAGGCCGGCAGAGCTGGTGGAATGGCGGGCCACGGCAGAGAGGAGGGAGCTAGGAGACATGGTGGAGCCGCTGGGTCGATAGGCCGAGGCGGAGTCTGGGACTCGGAGGCGAAGACAAGGGATCTTCCAGCCACAACGCTAATGGAGACTGGCAGACCCACACCACCGATGGTGGGCTGAGGGTGAGCAGAGGGGCTGGCAGGGGACAGCGGAGGTGGTGTTGAGGACTGATGAAGAGGTGGTGGGAGTTTTGAGCAGTCCGGGGGTTCAGGGATGGTGTGTGCTGCCCACACACACCAGAAGGCCACTCCCAGCACTGGGAGCAGCAGAGATAGGGGAATGACCTCCATGGTCGAGACAGGACAGGCAAACTGTTCAGGGCAGATAGACAGTTCAGACAGATCAGAGCAGACAAACAGTTCGGGCACGACCACCATGGTCGTGATGGGACAGACAGTTCAGAGCTGACGAATAGTTCATAAACGGCCTCCATGGCCATAACAGGACAGGCAGAGATTTCAGATGATGACGGAAGACTGGGTAGTTCTGAATAAAAGTCTATTAAAACCCCTGAGTCCAGCTGCAGCTCACCCTCAGCAGTGGCACAGTGGGCGGGGCTTTCCTCTGCGCCCTCACTCTCCACTGTATAATCCTCCATGTTGCATTGTTGCTGGCTCACACACCTGGTCAGACGTTCCATGAGGCTCTGGCTCTGGGGCAAACCTCAGCTCTGTCGCTCCATTAGGCGATGGCTCGTCGGTCGCAGTGGGATCTGGCTGTTGCTCCGTGCAGCGGGGTGGTATTTGGCTGGGCTCTGGGTCTGGAGTGGGGCTGGTGAGTTCCTCATCAGCGTGGCAGATGGTGAACTGGGATCCATTTCTCACCAGTACCCACTCCACAAAGACGGTGAAATTCCCTCGAGGACCGTCTCCGGACAACCGCGCTCTGCATGTGGTGTTGAGGCTCGCTATGTAGAATGAGCAGAGTTCAGAGTTTACGTCTGGGTAGTTGTTATTGTTGGCAATGTCCAGAAATAGTCTGGTGTGGTCCTCGAGGGCAAGTTCCCCCTACTCCAGCAGGAGGAGGAGGAATTTGGGGCGATCCATAAACAAAAAATAAAAGACTTTCAAAAACTAGAAAACAAACGAGGGGAAACGCGCCGCTTAACTTCCTGTTTTGTCGGATCTTCAGTCACACTCAGGTGCACTCAAAACACTCACGAAGATGATGAGGGTAAAGTAATCTTTAATATCCACACAGAAGGTAAATTCACAAGAGGAAGGCTTAGCACACGGGAAGACATTGACGAGATCCGACAAACACTAACTGAACAGACAGGAACTTAAATACACAGGCAAATTAAAGTCGGCATGAAACGGAAGTTGCGATGGTCTTTTCTTCTCTACTGTGCCGTATATCCGAGTGAAACAGCATCTGAAATGAGAGGGCGGGACTTCATTTCGTCCTTCGGGAATTGATTGGATCGTTGGAAGTTGGGGCGTTGCTAACAAAATGGAGGCAGATCTGAATGCCAGTTTGCAGTTAGTGGTGGGGGATTTCTCTCCACTGGATTCACAGCCGACACCCAAGGATGAATAAATGTTTTATTTATTAAGGATGACGACGATGATCAATGGCACAAAACATGCCTAAACAGCACGTGTGCGAGAGAGAGAGCCTGCCTGAATCACTGAGCGTGTCCTCCATCAGGTTAAGTCATATTCATGAAAAAAATTAGTTTACAATGTCCTAAGAGTAATGTTGTCGTAATATCCTAATATCTTTTCAATGTTTAGGGGTAACATACTCCCTCATGACTGGTGTCAGTGCGATAAAGTGAAGCATCAGCTTCAGCTTTTCCCCCTGTCGTTTATCCCACCAACGTTTACCCCTCACGTCACTAGCCCCGCCCTTTTCAGGGCTCCGGGCTGAAAATATTTTTCTCTACAAAAGGGGGGCCTGGCAGAAAAAGTTTGGGAACCACTGCATTAACAGATGTTATTAAACATTCAGTTCATATATGATCATGTACTTTTTAAATCTACAAATGATTTTAACCGCACTTTAGAAATTTCATTAATAAATCATTTACATTATAAAATGCTTAACAGAACATTAAATAATATATATTAAAATAGCTACAAATATGAGATCACATGCTTGTATATGTTTACTAATGAACTTATTGAACAATCGATAATGATTTACAGATAATTAGTTAACATAAATTAAAATGCTTAAATGTCATTAAAATTTCAAGCAAAGGAATGTACAGGAAACAGAAATATATATCAAAATAAGAGTCCATGGAACAGAACATAAATTAACAGAAATGTGACCGAATGGCATAATGTCACAAAAGTACATTGACAGCTGGAGTAGACTTTATTTACTTTATTTCTTTTAAATGTTACATTACAATAACAGTGACACACTCACTAAAGCACATTGTTTCTAAATTAAGGCAAGCAAACAGAAGATATAAGTTATATGTATTAACAATTAAGTAGACGTCAGGCAGTAATAAACATCATAGTTGAAAAAAACAAAAAAACAATATGACTGTTCTGCTTGGTATGTAAGACCTTAAAATCTTTGATCTTTGAGTTCTTTGAAGCATGAAATCACCTTCAGTTAATTTGTGTCTTGACGTGTTTGTTTTTACTGTACAACCCATTTGGTGCAAACGGTAAATGTTAATCAAAGCCATACATCTCAGGACAGTATACAAATGCCTTAGAAATCTAACAGTCTATGTGACAAAGATGTATAAAATCTAAAACATTATTGGAGTTCAGATGGAATTTATGGTTTTCAAGTCTGTTACGCTCTATGAACATAATGTGAATGAGAAATATGTCTTATGAAATGATAATGTTCCACAATGTTAATGCTTGCTCAACATACAGATAATGAATATTCTATCAAGCACCTTTAAATGTGAAAAGCATCAAATGTACAAAATAATTAAAAGCATTAGAACAATTCCATTATACAATAAAAGTGACAACATGAAATATTGAGGTACATTTGACTGAAAAGAATTAAAGCAGAGGAGAGAATGGCTCATCACATTAACATTATTTTTTTTAGATGGAGCCCATCTGACAGTTTGAACATACAGAAGAATGAATAAAGAGCGTCCACTTCAAATCTGCTGGGGCTTTTAAAAATTCCTTGTTTAAAAAGCCTTACAACTTCTCCCATATTTAGACTTTGTTATAAATAGAGAATAGTAGACATTTTCAATCACAAATAACTGCAAACAAAGCAACCAAAACCTTTAGGATTGAAAATCAAAAGGAAATATCACATTTCAATCAAAACATCTAACAGCACTTTTTATGGGTTAAAATGATAAATTGTTCATTACATTCAGGTTTTTAATGCCTTGATCTGTAACAATAACTGATATGCTTCATACGAGCATTTTATCAGTGTATAAAAAGAGTTTTTTTTGTTTTTTTAATGTGATGCAATTTGTTTAGAGAATCAATTAGTAAGAAGAAGAATTCATAACCTAGAAACATACTCAAGTATGCAAATGTAAATGCTTGGCCAATGCATTGCAAGTGTGTGGTCTTGTACCGTCCAATTTGATCTTGTATTACTGTGGTATTAACAAACCTTCGTTCTCTAGGGGATGACAGAGTTACTATTTTTCATTACGTTGGATATGTTCTTCAGGTAGTTTAACAAACTTGCTCAACAAGATTATTCAAAATGTTTTGTCATGACAATAATAGACCTGCAAGACAACACAGAAGACTGTCTACGCCAGTGTTCATCAGCTCTGGCCCTTGAGATCCACAAGCCTCATTTAATTGCACACAGGGGGCACACTTAAGCATGCAGAAAATTATTTTCATACATTTAGAATAATTTTAAATATGTAGAAACATTCACACTTCAACAGTCATACAAATGCGTGCATGTGAACGGTTTCTAGCTACTGTACAGCATTCAAGATGCTGAAACTAATTGCAGTAAAATCTTTAGTTCCCACGCATCTGCCAAAAAGGCCAATTCATCATAATCTTCTCCTTCAGCATGAAAATCATATCCTCACTGACTCCAATGAAGAAGAAACTTCCTGCTTGCCGTAGAAGAGCCCCAGCAGCGGATTACGGTGCTGACAGTTCTCGCAGCTGAAAACGCAAATCTCCCCTGCAGCTCTCAATGAGACTACAGCATAGAGCATATTGCATATTTTCAGTGGCGTTTGGTGCAAAATGCGGTGCCATGGATGTGGCTCATGCAGAGCACTCCTGCACTCCTCGGATGAGCACTGTTTGGACAAGCCCACGAAGAGGCTGCGCTCACAGAGACATGCTGTTCTCATTACAAGAGCACGCATCTCGCCCCGCTGCACTCGTGGATCACTTCCTTTGTAGATAGCGACCCCGCCCCTTGTGCTCTGAGGGGAAAAACAGTGGAGTTATGGGGCAAAGCAGATGGGTCCAAGTGAGTTATGCCGGCTCAGATCCCACATGTTTCACTCTAGCCACAGAGAGAGGATTCCCCGGTGCTCTTTTCCCGGCCAGCAAAGGGGGAAGGGGAAGGCCTGTTGCGGTGGGACCTCTTTCCAAGAAAGCTTGGAATGTTCCTCCCAATCCCTGGTCCAGATGCAGGTGTTGGAGCGTGTGTTTGTTGCCAATGCTGGCAATGTTTGCCCCAATAGATGTTTGTGCACCCATACAATTGCCCTATAGGTAAGCCCCGCCCCCCTTAGTTACTGTTGCGAACTCGGACAAACAAAAGGAGTTGCTAACTGTCTTACAATGACAGCTGTCGTTGTGAAAACCTTGTCCCTATATCTTTTTAATAAATTTTGGACACAGAAGGACCACCATTCAAGTGGGACTTAAATATGCCATGGAGGGATATATAAAAGATTTTTAAATAAAATATTGTGGTTATTAATTTGGAAGCGAGAGTTTACAGATCACAATGCAAGCAGGAGAAGCCTCATGTTCGTCACGATCCCAGAAAAAAACATCCCGGATCTACACTGTTCATGTATCGCAGGGTACGATAACTTAATTTACATTTAACCAGTTTAATATGAAGAGACAGTGAAATGTAGATCTTTGTTTATGTGTTTTTGCCCTACACTGTACAAGACGCTAGAACAGTCCGCTATTTAGGTTTGTATGGACTAGTTTTAGCCAGAGATACCTTGCTAAAGCTCAAGATGACATTAATGTTCTGCTTAAGTAGATGAAAATTGTAACTTAATGAGAGTATAACAACCAGAAAACGAACATTTTTGTCTTCATTGGGATTGGGGTTGAATGATTTGGGACATTTTTCTCAGTTTTGTTGGCTTTAGGAAATAGAATAAAATAAATTCCATTTCCTATTCTCTCAGGATACCTGGAATCACTGTTACAAGCACCCCAGGCACATCGTTTTTCCATTTTTTTAAGCATAAACCCCATAAAAACAATGCGAGCATCGGATCTTCCAATGTTTCTCTATGGCGCTGAAACCTACAGATGTCCAAGTTCCGCTCCCCGTGCTACTGATACTCGACTGCCATTGGCTCATCTGCATTCGAGGGGAGGGGCTTACCAATTAGGTCAATTCTGGCCTGGGAAGCCATCTTGGGCATTCTGGGTTCTGCAGACTATAGAAAAAGATACTCACTCCAATTCACTCACAGACTTCCCCGCTTCAGGGGTGTGATCCAAACTTCAGTCCAGAACAATGATACAGCCGCTATTTGCTCATTCCAAAGAAAGATGGGAGGCTCAGGCCCATCCTTGATCTCAAACACGTCAACCGCACCCTGACAAAGCAGCCATTCAGGATGTGGCCCGGTTGTTTGAAAAAGTTCCTCGCACAGGTTTGCCCAGGTGACTGGTTCTTATCGATGGATCTGAAAGATGCTTATTTTCATGGCTAACAGTCCTCCCATTCTGACTTTTACAAAGTGTATGGACGTGGCCCTCTCTAAGACAGAAG